CCGCCTCTGAGCCCGAAAGGGCTCGGCTCCGGGAGACCCGCCCGCGTCAGCGGGGCCCGCCGAGCGCCGTTCGGGTGCGGGCGGACGGCGGCTCCGCTGCCACGGGGCTGCTGAGCGGGAGAGGAGCGGAGCGTTACTGCCCGCGGCCCGGTTGCTGTTCTGCCGGGCGATCGGTTCCGTCTTCAGTTGCGCGCCAGCCGTTCCCCTTGCATTAGGGTCGAACGTTTAAAGCAGGGTTAGGAAGGTGATCTTACGTCCCGGGAGCGACTGTGTCGCCCAGCTTGCTTTGTAGCCGGCTTTGAAACAGGCTGGCGCCAGAGCGGTCCTTCCTCCCTTCCAGCGCCGGCGGAGCGGTGTAGCCCCTTGTCTTTAAAGGGGAGAAATGGCTGTTGCATCATCGCGGAACGAAGCTCGTTCGCACAAATAAAACTACCACCGGGATTCTCCTTAATCGAAAACATGCTTACTTGTCGAGAAAAGAAGAATTCGGTTTTGAGGTTTTTATAGAAAATAAATCCGGATAAAATAAACGGGGTTTATAGTGCGCTCTTCGCCTTACAACTGCCTTCTCCTACGGTGTTGATGCGTTGTTAACCGAGGAAAATACTAACCACAACAAGTGGGAAATTAAAACTTTTCAAAGTGTTCACAAAGTGAACATGAATCGACCTCATCACACCGGAACAATTATTAAAACGCGCGTTCCTTTGGATGTAGTTATGTCTCTCGTCAGAACCGTTTGCAGGTGAACAGGGTTTCGTTTCACCTGAAACGACAGCCCTAATGTCAAAGTAAGTTTGGGAGGCAATTGCTCGGGCTCCATCAGTGACCTTTATTTTCAGCCGCTGTAACAGCCTGTGTGTCTTGTTACATGCATCCTCGTAAGTAGCTTAACGTATAAACGTGAGATTAAAAACGCCGCCGCCCTAAAGACGGTTTAATAAACGACTTCATTGCTTTCTCCTCTATCTGTGGTAGGCAGCAGCAACAAAGCCAGCAGTAACGGGTTCATCAAGCTCTCTTGACTAAGCCCCGTCAGCGCTCTGTCCGCTGTCATTCCTGCAACGCCTGCCTGTATTGGGAAGGAGTTGGAGGGTGCCATCTGCTCTCTCCTCCTCCG